TGCAAACAGCAGCAGCATGCCCTGAAACGGACGGATTCTGCTGTGCCTGGCCAAGTCAGTATGGAATATTTGTCCGGGTTCTTCGATGCAGAAGGTTATGTGCACCACAGAGGAGGCCTGCGGCTGACGCTTGAGATCAAGCAGAAATTTGGAACGATCCTGAAGTGCTTGCAGGAGTTCTTGGCAACAGACCTCGGGATTGGAGTCCACCTGGCAAGTTATTCAAGCTTCTCGGTCCTGTACACGGGTCGTAGGTCCAATTGCACGGCGATGCTGCATGCGATGCTGGGAGCCGGACTTGTCGGCAAAGCTAAGCAAGCAAGGCTATCCCTGCAACTGACGGCTGAGAATTCATCAGAGGTCCGCACTGCCCTTGCGGAGCTGGTGGGGAACCAGAGTTTTGGGAAGAGCCTGGATGAGGATGGTCTGAAGAGGTGTCGCAGGATCCAAACAGAACAGAGGCAAGTCAGCCGATTGAGATCGCGAGGCAAACACAGTGAAGCACGTGCCCAAGCTGAGAAGGTCGAAGTCTTGCAGGCCGAGCACAAGTTACTCAATGCACGGCATGAAAATCAACAACTCCGGGAATGCGCGGCCAAGATCCAGTCACTACACGGTCAGCCAGAGTTGATGAGTCAGAGCTTGAAACATCGTGTATCCGATTGCTTCGAAAAAATGATGCTGCTGCTGCTGCTGCTGCTGCTGCTGCTGCTGCTGCTGGCTTGAAATCGTAGCGTGTGCCTCCGATTTCAAAAACCTAAATAGATCCACAACGGCGGTGATGGTGAGCCGGTGACCCCAAATCCCTGAACCCCTACACCCCAAGCCGTATACAGACCTTCAAGATCCCTCAAGCCTGGGTAGTGCAACCTCCGCAAGGTCGCAGGCCTCTCCATGCTGACCACATACCTCGGCGGCATGTTCTTGGGCGGCAGCAGACAGGGGAGTTTGAGAACGCGGGGGAGGTTTGGGGTTTAGGGCTGAGGGCGTCTGGATTTGAGAGGTGTTGAGCGGCTTGGTAGGCTGTGGCGGACAACAACAGTACCGGTAGCAGGTGTAGAAATGGACCACAGCCATAGTGATTGGATAGATCCTCGCTCAGATTGTGATCGTCCGAGACCTTCCTTCTTCCTTCGAGACATCGGTGCAAGGTGCAGTTTAAGGTTTGCCATGCTTCCCAGTCGTTCGGATTGCCAGATACGTCGCACAACTAGGGTGCGGCAGAAGCTGACAACATCAGCTTCTGGACCTAAATATCTATGTACTGCTACTATGCAGCCGCTCCCTTCTTTGCACGCGCTCCGTGCCGGGGTAGTTGCATGTTTGTTGCAATGACATGGTAAAATGAGCTGCTTGAACCTATAGGACACCTTACACTTCTCATGTCAAGCAACCCATACATGATGCTACAGAATCCACAAGCTGAGGTATGCCGTCGTCGCTGGAGGCTGCATCTTTCCAGGGAGGTTCAGCTTCAGGCGTTTTTGGGATGGTTTGGGTGGTTTAAGCGCTGGATGTCTTTTAGTTCCGGCTTCCCCTTGGACCTAAGAGCTCCAGGAGAGACGGATAGCTAAGCCCGGGGCAGGGGTAACGGGACTTCCAAGTTGGCTTTGGATCCCCAAGGCCCTAGACTTTACGTCCCAAAACCCCAACTGCTTAATCCGCAATCCTCGACACGAGCGTGAAGAATGAGCATGGGCTCAGGTTTCCCTGCACGTATCCCAACAAGCTTCAGAGTCGGGAAACGGTCTAGGGTAGGCCCTACACAGTGTCTTGGGCTGACTGTCTCACTGGCTCAGCATCTTTGGAGCTCTTGCTGAACACACTCAATTTCGAGAAGAATCTGTGATTGCGCGTTTACATCAGCTTCGCAAGAGTTAACTTTCCCGGACCAGTCATCCGACACCATCCCAACACCCAGCAGCCTTGAGACTCTAAGTCGCTACAGCTGAACAACAGTACCTCATACGACTTTTTTAAGATCAAGGGCCCTTAAAGTAGATCCGTTTCCAGAATCCTGGCGGGATGAGGGGCCTCAAGGCTCCGACTGTACTTGGAGGATCAGGGGACTGTAGAAAGCAGGATTAGAATTTTTTGCAACCCTGCCGAAGGCACTTTCTACTAAGTTTTCTGATCATTTAAGCAACAAAGGTTTGCACCATCTGCTTTTGTAGAGGGCGGAGGATGGGGCCACGGGCTTTGCCTTCTCATCTCTTCCTGCGGCATCTGTGAGGTGGGGCAATGATCATCCAGCAAGCAGCCAGGCATCGGCAGCTTTGTAGCCACGTCGCAATGGGTCTGAAGCCAACTTTAACATGTATGTATGTATGTATGTATGTAGGTAGGTATGTATGTATGTATGTATGTGTGTATGTGTGTATTGTATGTGTATGTGTAAATATACACGGTGTATATATGCCTGAGTTTTTGCATATATACATATCTGTAGATATGCCATCCCTAGGCAGCCCCAGTCGAAATAAAGCTCCAGACAATGACTTTTCCGAGCAAGTTTACATGAAACCTCGCCACGTACCTCTTTCACCTGACACCTGCTCGGTGGTTCGCCAGTGACCGGCAGAGCTCGTCGTGGTCGCCAAGAACTCAGTAGCTGAGTGGATACGCCTTACACTTTTTGGGATAGCATTGCCCGCTACAAAACTGAAAGTGTACACTTTTGGGGGGCTTATGAACTCATCAACTAAGAGAAGTCGCTACAAACTCCAGTTGTTTTGGTCCCGAACAAGCGCCGAAGCTTAAGCTCTTCAGGGCAATGACCTCTGCAAAGTCGTAGCTGCAATGGCTCGTATGCATCTGACTCACTGAGCAATTTTCAAGATTCACCCCACGACCCTAAACCCTATCAACCCAAAACCCAAAACCCTAAAGCCCTAAACCCTAAACCCTAAAACCTAAACCCTAAACCCTTAAACCCCCAAGCCCCAAACCGCTTAACCTGTAAACCCCATAAACCCAATAAACCCTAAACCTTAAAACCCTACGAACCCTATAAACCACGAGATGGAGAAACTCCTCATTCTGGACAGGCATGCCGCGCTGGAGATGAGCAAGCAGGCGTGGAACTTCTCGAACCCTCAAGGATTTATCGGGTTTATAAGTTTTTAGGGTCTACGGTTTAGGGTTAGTAGAGCACTACTGTAGAGGCCGGACTCATTACCAATACTATTCCAGGGGTTTCTTGCTTAGGTTATACCGAACGCAAAATGTACCCCGAAGTATTGAGGCCCCTACGAAGGTCGGCATGTATTGTTTCCTGATATTTTGAAGATCACTAGAGGATCTTTAATGCCCTGCTAGGACTTACTTTCAGTCTTGAGCTTGCATGCTGAGGCGGCCTTCATAACCACTTGTGAAAACAGTTCACATGACAGAATCCGCTGAAATATTGCTCTAGGAGGAAGAGGGGGGAATAAGAAGTCGGGTCGTCGTCGTCGTCCGGACGATCGGCGATCGAAAGGCAACACCCTTGCATATAGGACCTAGAACTTTGAGTTCAGTGGTTGCTTGAGACAACGAACAGTGGAAGCGACCTTGAACGTGTTGGCTTTCGGCTTCTGTGAGTGCGTGAGTGTTTTTCTAGTTTACGTGGTTTTGGGGCTGTGCAGGACGCCTTGCAGCAGATTGATGACAAGCCCGTCAAGAAGCAGGTCGTGCAGAGGCGATGCCCTGTTTAATCTCAGACTCAGATTGTACAGCGGATCGTTACCGATGATGGGGTCAATTGGATGCGTTTCGACAAACTTCCCACTGTAAGTTTGTGATATAGAGCCCTGAGTAGCAACCCTAATGTAGTCTACAAACCCTAAACCCTAAACCCTACTTGGAGGATCATGGGACTTAGTACGCAATTTTATAAGTACCTTAATTGGGGTTGTAAGTATAGTTACCCTAATTATAACCCTAGTGACTAAGTCCCATGATCCTTTAAGTGTCCACCCAACCCCCCCACAGTTTCGGCCATGATTCTTCTGTCGAGACGCACCCCGGCCATGATGCTTAGAGTCGCGACTCCAGACTGGTCCATGGTCTAGCAGGCAACCCCTGCGCGCTTGAAGTTGCCACTTGTTGAGGCATGTTGATCTCTGAAGCCCTGCATGCCAAGCCTGAACAAACTTTGAAGCCGTTTGAAGCTTGTGATGGACCACGTCTAAAGTCCCGTAGTTCATGTGATCCTGCGGCCATTGACGGCCAGACTCCCAAGCTTGCAGCTTTAGACGGGGCGCGCTCCGAAAATCCGCTTGCCTGCTGGGGATTTAGGGCTGTTGCCCTGTTGGTGAAACCTCTAAACCTTCAAAGTGTAAACCAACATGTAAGTTTGCAATGTTGCACAAATAGAAGCTCTAAGCTCTACACAGGACTCCACATTCCAAAGTCCAAACCCCAAACCCTAACCCAGACCCTTTTAACAACCTGAAACTCGAGCCCTAGCCTCTTCAACTTTAGGTTCAGAAGCACGGAGGCTGCAAACATGTTGGAGGCCTCGAAGGTTCTTCAAGCTTAGAGGTAGATCAGGCCGTCCCTGGCAAATGCAAGCGCTTTCAGGCTTGTGTTTAAAGCCTTCAGAGAGCTTCCAGGGTTTGGGTCTTGAGGACGAGCCGACAGCCTTTGTAGGGATTTGGTCGTGATTTACGGGGTGGCCACAAACACATTTCTTGTGTCCTAGGCCTCTGCATTTTAGTGTCCTGGGCGTTCGGGCATCAAAACATGTCGCCGTCTCTGACACTACGAAAACAGAGACATGCCGAAGCACCTTGGGTTCAGGTCATGCAGGGAACAGTGAGCAAGGGTTCATGCCAAGCCGCGATTATTGTCAGCGCATGGATTCTCAGCAAGCTGCAAGAGAACGCCGGGTACGAAACTATTCTCAGAAACTAAGAGGATGCGGGGACACGCTGATTAGCTTCGAGTGCGGCTGGCGAGTCAGCACTGGCTCCTTCAACCACCGGGGCTTGTGTAAATGTAGATGGCAGCAAGCAGCCATGCTCTTTGCAGAGGACGAGTACGTTGAGCAGCTTGGCCGCATATTATGCTTGCAAGATGGCCACAGCCTGCAGGCTTAGGGTTTTTGTTGTTCAGGGTTAGGGTTCAGGGTACACTGCAGGACTTAGAAGGCCAGCGTGGGGTACCGCCCTGCGCTCTAAGTGCCAAGGCCCTCAACAGAAAGCCAGCCCGCAAACCGGGAACACCAGGCAAGTCCAAGCATGGGTCCTATATACACCTAAACAGAGATTTTATTTCCCTTATTGGGCTTAAGAGGATCTTATTTTCTAACAGTTTTCAAAGGCTTTAAAATCCCCACCTAGTAAAGCACTAAACCCCTCGCTCCTCGAGCCCTGTGAGCGTCCCTTGGAGGGCTTGGCTTGGGCTCAAGGCTTTGAGGTTGTTTAAGTCTGCAGTTTGAGGGCTTAGAGTTTAGGGTTTAGGATGGAGGGTTAGGTAAGGGTTCGAAGGTTTATGGCCGAGGTCCCAAACCGTAAGCCCACCGAACCCGTCAACATCTGGAGAACCAGGCGAGTGTTCGAGGTGGATGTACCGGAGGGCATCACGCTTCCCGATGTGAAGGACAAGTTGCAGCTCAGGTGGGAATGTGATGGGCTCTTGAGTTTTTGTACAGGGCTCGACATGTCTGGGTCCAGGTAGGGCTTCATTTTGCCGTTCAGAGGTTCTTTGTGCTGGATGGGGTGGCCTTGTGTGTTGCTTCGGATTGAACGGGTTCATCACTGGGGCACTCTGCTAGTCTGTGAGAGGGCTTGGTGTTGACGGTGGTACGTGTGTGCGCTGGCATGTGTTTGACTTTGTTGATCACACCTGTTGTTCGCTTTGAAACGTTTTCTACTGCAACATCTTCGGGGTGCTTGGTTGCGTTTGTGTCTGTTCTTGGAGAGAGCTGGCCAGCTGCCTCTGAACCCTAAGTGCAAAGCACCCGCCCACTTTCCGTTAGATCTAAGCCTAAGCTCTTCATACAGGTTCACAAGCTCCCAGAGGTAAAGAAGTATAACGGGCATCATCCTTCTCATGCGGAGCCCCAAATCCTAAACCCATAAACCCCCTGAACCCTAAACGCGTGAGGAGCCCTCCCTGAATCGCCCAAAGCTTGAGAAGGTCCATGAACCCTGACCCCTTGTTCTCAACCATTTTGTCGATGTTCGGGGTTTAGGGTGTGGGGGTGCTCTCCACAAAACTATGTATGTCTCCTGAACCCGACCTGCTAGGCGTTGTTTCTTCGGGGGTGTCTGATTTTGTGGCGGTTTCTCAGGTCACTTACGTGTCTTATAGGGGTCTCAGAGCATTAGGCTTGCGGCTTGTGGAAAGGGGGTTAGTCAGGATTGGACGCTAGGCTTCTCTGCCAGGCTGTACGGATGGCCAATGGGCTCCAGTGGCAACTAAGCTGGCAGAGTTCAGGATTTAAGGATCTCCCAAATTTAGGACGCTTCGTCTCATAGTGAGCTCTTGAGGTCAGGATTGCTGCCTTGGGGGCTTCAGTGTCGCATATGTCGAGGGCTTGCTATCCGAGAGAGAAAGGTCCTGATCTTCGGTCATGTGCCATCTGTCGAGTTGTCTCTGGAGATGTGCTGGATTGCTCAAGCAAGCGTGACACAGCAATCCTTCCCTTAACATGCCCTTGAGACACGATGCATCCTAAACCCACACGCTTGAAGTCCAGCATCAGAAGAATCAAAGGTGCCATCTGCTGGAGGGGTGTGCGGCGCCCAGAGATTCAGCTCGGAAGGTCTGTTAGTTGTTGAGGTTTCGGTGTTTGCTGATTGCGGTTAATTAGAACATTCCGGTGAGGGAGAGCCAGGATATCCGCACCTGTTCGCGAAGTGCATGAACTCCAGCAAGTAAGTCAGGAAGGTTACTAGCTGCAGACAAGGACGTGAGGCCTGGGAGCTGAGTTCTTGCATAGAAGGCTAGCCTTCGTACAGCCCATCTTGGCAACCCACCCCCTTCAATCCTTGGAGCTCAGCCGTACGTATACTTATAAACGGTTTCGAGCAACCAGGACCAGAAAGAATATTTCAAAGACCTCCCAGGCGCCCAACATGCACACCCTTCCCCTGGTACAACAAAACACCCCTTAACCCTTAAACCCTAAACCCTCAACATGACCCCTAAACCCGAAAACCCTAAAGGCCCTAAAGCAAGGCGTGGGCTTCGGTACACCTACTCCTCCGGGCAGCTGCGACTTTGCCCCAGCGGCGCGTGCTGGAGCTGGGTGCGGGCTGCGGTTTGTTGGTGCCTTGGGCTTTCAGCATGCAGATGGGGGGGTGGGAAACAAGGGGAGTTAAAGGAATGCCCACAAATTTGTGGTCAATGATGAACATGGTGACCCTAAACTACCATACTAAGGAACCCATAGAAGTTACTATAGATTCCTATTATGGTAACCTAAATAAGATCCCTTAACAGGAATCCAGTAATCCCTAAACCGAAGATGGTGACGATTGCTATCGACATCTTGGGGCCTTTGTGGCGGGTAACGCGGGGGGGGGGGGGGGGGGGGTGGCTTTGGAGCTTTGCAAAACCTGTGTTCTTGAGGCAGTATGTAAGGAAATCACAATACCCAAACAATTCAGGGTTAAGGTGGAGCTTTGAATGGCTTAGTTGGCCCCGAGGCTTTGAATCCAAGGGTTCAGGATCGTAGCTGGGGCCGAGGCTGTTCAGACCTTGAGCTCTTGAGCTTTGAGGGGTTTAGGGATTGTAGGGTTTAGGGTTCAATGTAGGAACCTGATAAAGAAACCCTGACCGTATATCCCCCAATATATGAAGGACCCATATAAAGAATCCTAGTAAAGGCCCAAGTTTCTTAATCAGGTTCCTACAGTAGGGTCCGGGTACGTCGGTGTGGGCTCCGAAGTAGCATCAGCCTGGTAAAGTCCCACACTGCACGGCTTAAACTAGGATGCCCAGTACTACCCTTATTCCTTTTTTGCAGTCCTAGGTTCCTTATAAGTTACCCAATACCAAAAAGGGTGCCCTTTTTATCCCTAGGTTACTGGGCATCCTAGTAAATCTGTATACAGCGGCGGCATCCTCGGCCAAGAACAAACGAGTCGGATGCTCCGAGCAAGGCGTCCCAGTTCCGGAACACTACCGGAGTTTCCGAAAATAGGGCAACCAAATATGGGGGTACCTTGAAGGGATCCTTTATGGGCTCCGAAAGGGATCTATACGGGTCCTGTGAAGGGTTTAGGGTTTGGAGAGTTTCCGAAAATTAGGGGTACCATATTTTGGTGTCCTTATAATAACGCGCCAGTGCTTTGTTCGCGCGCGCGCAATGGCGCGAATGTTGCAAATTCGTTGGCCCTGCCAATGAATTCGAGGTGTTGGCCCATGCAAGACTGTCCGAAAAACTGCTGTATTTTTTCTCGTCAGGCGAAGAGCCAGGCAGCGTCCTGCGTCACGTCTGCGAAGTGCTCCGGGTTGCATCCGACTTTGCCGGCGCGTTCCGCTCTATACCCAGCAAGTGCCTGCAACACGGTACGAAGGCCAGGTCTGTGCAAGAGACGTCTGACTGCAAGTAATGTGACGTGAGAATGCCTGGGGGCCATCCGCCCCAAGGCGTTCACACGCCGCAGCTGATTCTTGCCTACGGCAATCTGTGCTTCGCACTGATTGTCGCCTCCCACTATCCGAAAGGTTGTCTTTTTCGGGGAAAACTGGGCTGCGGGCTTCTTCTTCACTGCAGCAGCTTTGCGAACTGTACGAGCCTGCTTGCTTGACAAGGAGGCGGAAGGAAAAGAAACAGTAGGCGTCATCTCATCGAGTCCATGCCGAGCTTGGGCTGCAGGAATTGCAAGAGACTGCCATGCGGACGTCAGTCCGCATCCGCTATCGGAAGCAGCCAGCACGCTGTCGGCATCTATGTGCTGCGACATCAGAGGCAAGATCTCTCGCAAGGTTTCTCCGCCTGAGGCCCGGGAAGTTGACGGGGTAGGGCTTAAATCCCTAAGCACAACTTCCCAAAGAAATGCGTGAAGCCGAAAGCGCCTCCTGGCGCGCCGCGTTTCTGAACTGTTGCCCGAAGAGGCCTCACCACTGTCTGCTTGGAAAAGCGTCCTGACATCACCAGGACTCGTCCGTGCTGAGCTTGCTTGGCAGAGTCCGTGCTGTGCTTGCGGTACTTCTGGGCCTTGCTTCGCTGACGTTTCTTCTGGTTGCGTGCAGTGAAGCCCCGCCGCACAACCAGGTGGCCAGCGCCATCTGCCTGGCGGCGTGCACATTATGAGAGTTAAGGGTCGAGGGTTTAGGGTTAAGGGGACATGGGAGTGTTTCGGAAGTTGCAGAGTCCTCCACAATCTCATCCTTGAGCAAGACCTGCTTTTGCTCTTCCATCTCTGTAAATGCCAAAGCATAGCGCACAGCCTGCGACATGCTGGTGAAAAGCAGCAAGTCAAGACCCGTCACAGGAGACCCACACTTTCAAGACATGAGGGCTGCAATTGGTTCAGGAGAGAGAGCCTCTAGCCACGTCGCCAAAAACCTGGGTCCAGCTTGCGTTTGCTTGTCGTTAACGTAGTGCGGAAGAGCATCGGGTGCGGTACGAACGCCCACGCAGTAACACAAGCGCAAGAACGCGGCATACTGCGGACTGTGGCCTTTGGTGCACCCTTTCCAGAACGGCGTCCAAGCAAGGGCTGGATGACGCAATTGCAAGTAATGGCGTCCTTCGCATGCTTTGTGGAGTTTTAGCTGTCAGGGGTCTGGGCTAGGGAAAATAAGACAAGCAATGCAAAAGCGATGCAAAGAGTCCTGCGACCTTGCAATTGCAGCACTGCTTGGCTTCAGCAGAAACGCTGCCTGAGCTCGAACTGGCCTGCGTCATTCGCTCCCCACACTTCCAGCAGTGAACGACGGCATCTCTCTTGGGCAGAACCCCAAAGCGCCGCAGCATCATTTCAGCTTGCTTGTCCGTGAAGGAGACAATGTCGCTGAAAAACCACTCTTGCTTAAAGTCGCGCAACTGAGTCGTCTTCTGCGGGCGTGCGAACGAGCAAGCGAGCTTGAGTTTGTGGTGCTGCGTGTTCACTCCCCGAGCCGCTTGCCGATCCTTCTTGGCGGTATGCTTGAGCTTCTCCGCAGCTCCAAACTTCCTGGAACGTATTTTGACCATCACAACAGCTCAAGCTCGGAGCCCAAAAAAAAACCTGCGGAAAGCGAGCAAGAGTAAGTAGGTGCTGCGCGGAAGACTTGCAAAAGAGCAGCCCCATGCACTGCATCAGCTTTCTACATGAAAAGACGCAGAGGAACTTTTGACCGCGAGCAGGTGCTCCCCCCTCGGCGAGCAGATTTTGCGGGGCGTCTGGGAGAGGAAAGTAATAGAATATATCCGCATATACTACTTTTGTCATGGAAGAACCGTTACATGGATGCTCTGGTGACCGTATGCTCTAGGTCTGATCTGCACGTCATCATGGTTGGCACATGGATGCTCTGCGGCAATGGATGGAGTCTGATCTGCACGTCATCATGGTTGGCACATGGATGCTCTGCGGCAATGGATGGAGTCTGATCTGCACGTCATCATGGTTGGCACATGGATGCTCTGCGGCAATGGATGGAGTCTGATCTGCACGTCATCATGGTTGGCACATGGATGCTCTGCGGCAATGGATGGAGTCTGATCTGCACGTCATCATGGTTGGCACATGGATGCTCTGCGGCAATGGATGGAGTCTGATCTGCACGTCATCATGGTTGGCACATGGATGCTCTGCGGCAATGGATGGAGTCTGATCTGCACGTCATCATGGTTGGCACATGGATGCTCTGCGGCAATGGATGGAGTCTGATCTGCACGTCATCATGGTTGGCACATGGATGCTCTGCGGCAATGGATGGAGTCTGATCTGCACGTCATCATGGTTGGCACATGGATGCTCTGCGGCAATGGATGGAGTCTGATCTGCACGTCATCATGGTTGGCACATGGATGCTCTGCGGCAATGGATGGAGTCTGATCTGCACGTCATCATGGTTGGCACATGGATGCTCTGCGGCAATGGATGGAGTCTGATCTGCACGTCATCATGGTTGGCACATGGATGCTCTGCGGCAATGGATGGAGTCTGATCTGCACGTCATCATGGTTGGCACATGGATGCTCTGCGGCAATGGATGGAGTCTGATCTGCACGTCATCATGGTTGGCACATGGATGCTCTGCGGCAATGGATGGAGTCTGATCTGCACGTCATCATGGTTGGCACATGGATGCTCTGCGGCAATGGATGGAGTCTGATCTGCACGTCATCATGGTTGGCACATGGATGCTCTGCGGCAATGGATGGAGTCTGATCTGCACGTCATCATGGTTGGCACATGGATGCTCTGCGGCAATGGATGGAGTCTGATCTGCACGTCATCATGGTTGGCACATGGATGCTCTGCGGCAATGGATGGAGTCTGATCTGCACGTCATCATGGTTGGCACATGGATGCTCTGCGGCAATGGATGGAGTCTGATCTGCACGTCATCATGGTTGGCACATGGATGCTCTGCGGCAATGGATGGAGTCTGATCTGCACGTCATCATGGTTGGCACATGGATGCTCTGCGGCAATGGATGGAGTCTGATCTGCACGTTATTATGTGTTGAGCATGCTTACTGTAGGTGTGGGCGGGTGGTCTCCTCTGCTCGCTTCTGCGCTGCCTCCTCTGCAGCCAAGTTGGCCTGCCAGTCCCGCTCCATGGCCAACTCCACGGGGTCCGTCTCCACCCAGTGCGTAGACCAGGTGTGAGGCGCCATGGCTGAAGCTTCTTCGAGGCTCAGAGGTCTGCGGGAACAACCCGGACACGTGCAGGAAATGCTGCAAAAACCAGTACTTTGGCACCCTCTAAAAGCAAGAATGTCTGAAAGTACTGCGCCCGCCAGCAAAAGCGCAAGCCTGAACCCGTCGCATGTTGCGCGCGAACAGGGCTCTGGAGGGTATAATAAGGATCCTACTATTTAGGGTACTGTATTTGGGTCCCCTGTTTTCGGAAACTCCCATATACGTCGCAGTAAATTCCAAACTCCTGCACATCCGACCCTAAAACAGATGCCAACGCCCCACAAGTACCTACCAGAGCCCTACAAGGCACACACGGCTGCACTCTTGGGACGCTTGGAGCCGGATTATGCCTTCCGGAGCAAGTCTTGGGGTTTGAATGTGTTCGGTTACTTTTTGCTTGGTCTTCTCGCGAGGTGCTGAATCCTACTAGTAGTGTTCTTGCTGAGGGCTCAGGGATTCAAGATTTTGGGAGTTTGGGTTGGCAGGGTTCTGGCGATCAGGGCTCAGGCACCAGAATCCAAAGAAATTTCAGCTCTTAGCTGTTGAGGGCTTCGTCTGGAAACATACTTGCCAGGGCTGTTCTGACTCCCATGATTACTTGTCGTCGTTCAGACTTTGTATCTGTCAGTGTGAGTTCCTTTCAAAACCTTACAAACCCCACACCCTACAAAGCAGAAGCACCACAAACCCTATGAGCCCTAAGCTGTACCGGCCAAGGAGCAGAGAGCACCGCCAGCGATGGCAGCGAGGATGAAGTTCCGCTTCTGGAAAAGATTCTCGACGCGGAGATGCTCCAGGTTTTGAGGCAGCGGAGAGGAGCCTCAAGAAGCTCTTTTGGATCCTGGGAAGGGGAGTTTTGAGTATGTCAGTTGGGGCTAGAATATACTTGAAAAGTCTAGGTACACTTCATGCTAAACCTACTTACGCAGTCCCCTGATCCGAAGATTACACTTATGCCACGGCCTGCCCTCGTCTATGAAGGCCATCTGAATCTCAAGTGAGGTTTTCATGAACCAATTGTCGAGGCTATACAAGGCTCCTGAGGAGTATTGGTGACTGTACATGCTGGGTTTTTGTCGTTGAAGGTTTGTAACTAGTACTAACTTTGCATCATCTCAAGACTTCAAAGGAGCACGGAAGTCCAAGGACATCTGAACCCAGACTACAAACCCTGCACCCTGAACGGCCCTTAAACCCTCAATACCCTGACAAAACTCTCAAAGACCTAAACTCGCGGCACCTATTTCGGAAGTGGGGTGTAGTGGGGAATATGAGAGTCGCAACTATGCGATGCGGAGCCCCGGTACAGCACCCGTAGAAACCTCCGCACGCAACGACTTCAGAAGCGCTACAGAAGCTTAATCCAAAGTCATTCCCGGAGTCCTCCAAACCTTCGAAACCCCTACCCTGCCGTTGGCCCTAAACACCAGAAGCCTGAAACAGCGGTGAGGCTACTGAGCTCGATAGGTCCCCGGCGCTCTTGCCTCACGAAACCTTACTAAATCCTGTCAAGATAATGCGAAATCGAGATCAATCCTATAATTCATCCACATTCTTTATGTGAGTTCAAGCCTCAGCGGTAGCCCTCAGCAGTTTCTTAATCTCGCACGGCCCCGACCTTAGGAATGCGGACGCCTTCATCGACCGCTGCTGGGGGAAATTTCGAAACCATTGTCGTGTTTTGTTCGTTGGTCCTTGCGCGTGTATTCCTGAAGAGTCAGGTTTAAACGGCTTGCGGCTTAGGTGGTGTTCTGTATGCCACTCATACCAACAACCGGAAGCGGGAAGCCCGAAATCTGCCAAATATGCTTTGAAGCTCGTGCCAGAAAGCAGCCCGTCATATGCAAAGACCGAGCCACACCATTGTCCACGTAGGAGATAATCAGCATGTGCGCTTCCGTGGCGCCATGTTCTTGTTCTGCAGCCCGCGAGACTGAGACTAAGCTATTAAGGGATGAAACTAAGGAAACGGGCTCTACAGCGATTCAGATCCTCGCCGCCTAACCACAAACCGTAAATCCCTAAACCCTAAACCGAGCTTGGGAATGCAAACTGCAAATCCAAAGCCCAATCGATTTGAATCACAACGAATTCCGAAACCTCTTCGAGCTCGCATGGAGGTCTGAATCACTAGTACCGCAGACCTGTATGGTCCCTATTCAGAACAGTCTTGCAGATCTGATAATAGCCGTAAACCTAAACTACACCTGTTAAGCTAGACTTTACAAGCCCTAATTTCCTGATGGTACCCATTCTGGTAACCTGTATAGTAACACTTGTAGTATAGTTGAACCACGTTGAGCATTACGGAAAAAGCTTACCAAGCTAAGCAGCCTCCGAAATATCATAAATCCCCTAAGACCTTGTAAGGCCCTTCTGAAAAAGCCGTATAACACCTGCATCATAAGCCATGATGATGGACTATAATCTAGGCTTACTAACCAGAGCAGCTTGAGGCATGGGGCTCGGTGGAAGCCTCGCCGCCGCCCACCTGGAATGGGGCCTGGCCCATGCGGAAGAGCGCCTTGGATCGCTTGCGCGCAGAGGGTGGGGTGTCCAAAGCCTAAAAGCAGAAACTCCCAAATCTGAGGCCTAAACGTCATGAACCTCAGTAGAATCTGGGGTTCAGAGTGTGCTACTCTTACAGTTTTGGATTTTGAGTTGGATCTTGGAGTTTGGGGGTGAGCACGATACAAGCCACCCGACCCTATCCAAACCAAGGTCAGCACTTTCCGAAAGGAGCTTCGACCTCATCGTCGGCTCGGAAATCGTGTTCCCAGGGCGCTCGAGTCTAGTGATAGTGATTGAAAATTTTTGGACCTTTCCAAACAAGTCTTGAACCCTACCCTAAACCCTAAGCCCAAAATCCTCTTATGAAGCCTCAGCCTCGTTTGGGACTTGCTTGGAAGTCTGCAACCTCACACTAGTATACCTCCCAGGCATCCTTTCTGTTCATCGCCACGCGCAGGAAACCCTACGTCTCAAGACCAGAAGAGTTGATGCCCCAAACCCGAAACCCCAACCCTCAGCCGTTGTTCGCTGGGTTGATCCGCAGGTACATTCCGGAGTACATACCTGCCCTGGCCGAGAGCATCGCCTACTTGCTGGCTGATGATGGACATTCGGCCAGGTTTAGTGGAATGCAATCCCCAGACCTGCCACAAGCCCTTAACTAAGGATATACCTTAAATCATACTAGGAATCCTACCAATTGTAATTTACTGCATATTCCTTGATCAAGACCCATTGGAAGGTCTGGCCCAACCCTAAACCCCTACATCCTATAAGCCTAAACCCCTAAACTCTAAACCGGCTCTGATTGCAGTGGAAAGCTCAAGGTTGAGGGGCTTCGGGAACCCCAAAACCCTAAACCCTGAACCCTCAAATGTTCTTTCGGGGCGAAGTGCCTACGACGTCGGGCTTCATCTTCAGGTCTTTGGCGACAGTCGCATTTCTGAAGGTTTAGGGGGTAAGATCTGTGTCAAGTCCCCAGGAGAGGGTCCCAGGGAGGGTAGATAACTCAATAATTTAATCTTGTACGCCCCAGGATAGTCTGAGGATACACGACCCTGCCCGCCTAAACGCTAACGAGCCAAACCCTAAACCCTAAAGCCCGAATAGCCGAAGGGGAAGCTGTGATCGTCAACACTGCCGTGGCCACACGGACGACGCAGTCGGAGGCCCGCCAGCTTCTGAGCAGCGCGGCTGGCAATGCGAAGCCCCATTCTTTCGATTCTTTCGACCACGTGATGTAAGGGCCATAATTAGAGTATAATTATATGGTTTCGGGGAGTATGTTACCGAACAAGGCAGGGAAATGCATGGGGCCATAATAGACAAACATGGTTTCGGGGAATAGTAGACTAAAGCACGACAGGGACGATAAAGGAATGATAATCTTCTTACTAGTTATTCCGACACCTACAGTAAATCTAACATAGCTCCGAGAACTAACTGCTTGCTGTTTTGGTTTCAGAGCCTCCTCTTGGTGTTGTAGTATCCTTAAGGGAGGGGGGTCCAAGGGGGGTATATAACCTAGTGATCCCTAATTCTCCCTAGTACTCCCTAAGGTTCCCTTACAGTCCCCTAAGGATTCCTTATACCCTCCCCCCTTGAACCACCCTCCCTTAAGGATCCTATAATGGTGCGTTCAAGCACAGCCATAGTAATCCGTAGAGCACCCCTAAGCCCGAATAGATCCCTCATAAATCCCTGTAGATCCTTTCTAAATCCCCAAAGATCCGTGACAAATCTTTACAGACCCCTTTCAAATCCGTATAGATCGTCTAGAAATCCCTATAGATCCCTTTCAAAACGTTATGGATCTCTTCTAAATCCCCGAAGATCCCTGAAAAATCTCAGAGATCCCATCCAACTCCCGGCAGCAGAGGCGAGTCATTGACGAAGATGGGTCTCGATTTTAGCTTCGAGATGCCACCGAAAGCGCCGCCGCCTCCGAACGAAACTCACTGGGCCCCACGCCGAGGTTTCAGGGGTTTAGTGTTTAGGGGTGGTTTAGGGTTTAGGCGCTTGTTTCAAGTCAGAGTTTGGCCACAGGTCCCTTCGGGTGGGGTGGGTGGAAGGGAAGCTTACTGGGTTCGAACTTTGCAGCTTAGAGATCATGGGCTCAGAAGGCAGGTCGAGGCTCGTACCCTACCCCTTTTTTGGGTTACCTGCTTTTCTATATAACAGACCCTAACTAAAGAACTAGGTGCCCTAAAAAGGGGTAGGGTGTGAGCCTACAGTAGGTGGTTGAGCAGGCCAGGGAGACCCCAAACGATCTTTTCTAAAGTCCGAGTCGATTTTGATGACCCAGAACTCTAGAGGCTCTCAAACGCGACAAAAAGAGCCTGGCTTTGGGTTAAGGGTTTAATATAGGGGCCTTATAGTAATTACCTATACTATGTTGGGGTTCCTTCATATAACTATCATAGTTATAGTATAGCGGGCCCCAAAACCCTATTCTAAGGCAGACACCTCCTACATCGTCCGGATCTGGCATCGGGACGCCAGGGCCACCTCATGAAGATCTGGAACCAAGACCAAGCGCTAGCCCCGTGTCGCCGATGTCCTCCGGCTGCAGTTCCAGTCCCTGGTCTCGGAGTCGCGACGAATTTCGGCCACAAGATGTTGCCGTAACGGCTGTGCAGGCTCGCTTCTTTATGCGAAGAAGAGGACAGGTCAAGTTCGCCGGCCGCTGGTTGCTCTCCGTTCCTCCCTGGAAGAGATTCTTGTCTGAGCTCGACAGAGCGGGACCTCACAAAAGCATGTCGAAGGCGCACAGAAGGGGAACTGACAAATGAACCGACCTTATGGCTATTTTGGAGGCAGGTATTCTGAACAACTACAGAGGTCTCAGTATCTGGGTTTTCGTAGTTATTTATAGCTCTCCGAGCTCCCGCAAGCAAAGGCTGAAATGTAGATGCATTCTAGCATAAAGCCCCCGAGCCAGTAATGCAGCTAGCTCATTCTCTAGGGATTCTCTAGTAGCTTATTGAAAACTGTAGGCCTTTACAGAGACGTAGACTCTGGATTTTGGGCTGGGAAATTTATGTCTCGTGGCTCAGGATGTAGAGTTCTAGGGATATTGAGTGAGTAGGGTCTGGAGTTCCAGAGATTTCGGGTTTGGGGAGTACCGTGTTCTTCTTTCCGTTCGTTCTCTGCCGTGTCAAGTCATCTGTATCCCGCACGAATGGAGCTGCGTAGATTCGGGGTTCCATGCAACTTGTTGTTTTGAGGTATTGTCTACTACAACTTAACAAATGAAAGCCCTCCGACAGTGTCGAACATGTTACATGTTGTCAAGATGATGTTTTTCGGCACTAGTTGCTCCACTTGCAGCCCCACACAACCGCAAAAGGAACTCCAAGCCCATGACTAGTACCTGAAAGCCGATGCCTCCTACCTATGAGGCGCACAAAAGCCCCAGACACTCTATCCAACAAAACCCCCAAGCACCCCTGAACCCCGACGGCGCCCAAAGCCCCAGACACTCTATCCAACAAAGCCCCACTGAACCCCGCGAGCCTTGCTCTCATGTCCATCTGCCGCTTCAGTTGCGAGGCCCAAAAATCGGGCTCAAAACGCAGCATCGGCTACGAACGAGACGGTTGTGGCGCTCAACGCTTGCATCCTAAAGCCTTTGCAGTCGCAGCAGCTTTATCAAAATCTTGGCTTGATTCGTTTCAGTGCTTGGAGACATTTCGAATCCGAGCCAGATAGAATTTGGGCTGTGGCTCTCACATCTCAAGCCCCTTTGCCGCATTTTTCACCATGTCGCAGCGGCCCGCAGCGAGAGCGACTTCCACCCGCCGGAGGCTCCTGACCGGGCAGCGGGGGGCGGAAAGGATGTGAGTGACAGTGATATGTGTATGTATATATATATATACATACAGAAATTACACATACACCTAGTTGTTTGTTTTTGATTTATATTATCTTAATGTATATCATACTACGTCGCGTTATGTCACATTCTGTTCTGTTCCACTATACCATGTTATTGGTATCTGTTACAGTCTACACGTATTCTATTCCACTGTATTGTGTTGTACAGACAGGTAGATAGATATATGGATAGATCGATGATAGATGGGTAGATACAGATAGATAGATGCACAGATGTATCTTCCAATGTCGCATCTGGACTCTGTCTGGTTGTTTACAAGGTTTAAGATGCTGGACTCTAGATCTACAACACTAACGTCTAAAGCTCCAAAGCCTAGAGCCCTTATAAGGGTAGTTGTCAAAATTATGGCCCCTTCTGGGGTACCCTAAACGTAGGTGCCGTATTATAATAACGACCAAAGGGACCATAATTTGACAACCATCCGTAAGACTTTCTAGAAAACATCGCCTGACCTCCGCAACTACAAAGGCTCGAGCTCGAGTCGAATCTTGGTACATGCAGTGATTCCCTGAAACACTACACACCCTACTAGGATGCCCGGTATATACCCTTATTCCCGATTTGTAGTCCTAGGTTCCGTCTAAAACTACCCAACACCAAAAAGGCAGCCCTTCTTATTCCTAGGTTACTGGGCATCCTAGCCTAAAGCCCAAACCCTCCTGTCTCACTGGAGCAGCCAAAGCCTCTTGAGGCTGCAAAAGCAGAGTTCCCTTCCGGCCATTCCGGCTCCTCAGGACTGCGGCACCTTTGGAGTTTGGGGTGTTAGGGGTAAAAGTTAGGGTTTAGGGTTTAGGGTTGCGGGGGGTAGCTCCCAAAAGGTTAGGCTTCACAAGTTTAAATGAACTCGGGCTCAGGGCATTTCAGTGTTTAAAGTTTAGCATTGGTGTGCCATCTATCTCCCCGTACCTTCGTAAAACCTGTGGGTTCCAAAACTTGTTGCGCAGAACTAAGGCTGAAAAATCACAAGCCATTGGCTGGGTACACTTGATTACGTTTGTTGGTCCTGTTCCTGAAAGGAACCACTATGAAATAAAGCCTATGCTTTGTTCCGCCGGTTACTCAGCAGCCCTGTGTGTGTGTATATGTTGCTGTGCATAGCTTACATGTGCATATGTACGATGCATACATGTTCACGTACTGATATTTGTACATATGCATATGTATACATACATAGACATCGAGAGAGAGAGAGAGAGAGAGAGAGAGAGATACACAGATGCCCTTGCCCCAAGATCTTCCCTCAGATTCAAGCCTTTGTGGCTTTGGGATGATAGAGCTCGCCTCGAATCAGGATCCTGACTTCATCGTCTACCCGGACGGTCGCAGGCGCGCCGGGGCCGCAGCGCCGGCAGAATGCATTGAGATCGGCTTAGGGTTGAGTGTTTAGGGCTTGGGTACTGCCCCGACTCCGTAACAGTTGGAAAATATTCATAATAAAGATCTTATAGGACCTTAATAGTAGCCCTATTGTAGACTGTTACCCAATTTACGGCGGCCCTTTGAGCTCAAATCCAGATGAAAGCAACATCCGGGGGAGAGTTGACCTGCTGTAGTTAGAACCCAAGGTTAAGAACAGATGCCCCGGGCAGAGGGGGGAAATTTTGCGTTTTAGGATGCTCCGAATTCAACCACTGGCCGCGAGTCTTTCAACCTTGACTCCTGGGAAGATCCTAAACCCGTAACCTTGAACCTTAAACTTGCAACAGTTTTCCAAGCCGTAGAAGCCTAAGCGCTAAGAGCCCGAAAGCACAAAAATAACAGCAGCCCCGAACCCTTAACCTCTAAACCCATGCCCCCCGAAAAAGTAATTAGTTTTTAGATGCAAGCCGATGGCACATGGGCTCAGTTCACATCATGATGTAGCCTCCTAGCCTACCAAAGACCCAAAACCCTAAAAACCTTTGAAGCCAACCACGAGCCATAAATCAGTGGTTTAGGATCTATCGCGTCCTATGGTTCAGGTTCTAACAGGATGTTGAATCCTTAGGGGGGTTGCTTTAGGTTGGGACTGGTATACACACTTGGTTAGGTGTCGAACTGTGAAATTGAATCATCAGTCCCGATCTCGTGATTTTCATCAAGGCACCTAAGATAGGAACCTAAAATTTTGCCCTCGGTGTTCCTCAGGCCTCCTGGTTCCAAATATACTATAAAGAAGCCCAAGACCTTATGCTAAATATTAAGGCCTACATAACATTCCCTGGCCGCAGAATCCCCCGACATCGCTGGACGACGGAACGTCAGTGCTCACTGGAGGAGCTGATTACGAAGATGCGAGCGTCCAAGG